AGGGAGGGAGGGAGGGAGGGGGGTTGGTCGGTTAATGTGAGAGCAGGAGGTGGAGGAAGAAGAGGTTGTTTGAAGAGTTTAAAAGTCCCCCAGCAGGACATGAGGAGAGGGGGAGGCAGGATGAATGGAGGGGAGAAGAGGAGATGGGAGTAGAGAGGGAGAGATGAGGAGGGGGGCAGGGGGGATGAACAGGGAGGCGAATGCAAATTGGGGGGAAAATAAAAAAAAATAAAGTGAGGAGGGGGAGGGACAAAAAATAAAATATAGGTCAGTACACTGGAATAATGCAGGTAGTTTGGTCAGAGATAATGGCTTGGATCAATGTTTTCTTTAGTCAAAATACAGCAAATAACTTGCGCCAAATGTCTTTCACCCTGGACAAGCATGGGGTAAAGGTACATTCATGTCAAAATCATAATAAAATCAGCAATATAAAGTCATAACCATGGGATAAAAAACAACATGCAGCAGGTTGGAAATCTGAAGATCTACAATCTTTCAGTGAGGACAATGGTGCTACGAGAGCGTGAGAGCGAGAGCTGAGGGGGGAAAGATTAGTTAAGAGACCATGCAGTTGAAGATTTTTCGTTTAGCAGTACAGTTTGGCATGCAAGAGTTGATGTGAAGACCACTGGAGTAAAAAAAACAACAACAACGTGGTGTTCACACAAGTCCAAGAGGCTAAAAGAAGGCTTAAGCACAGTATCTTAACATCAGGGGTTCAGTTTGAATAGTTGAGATACTGTCAGAGGCTCTGGGATGACACATTCATTCACAGCCAGAGAGAACAGACTGATGAGCCAAGAGACATTAAGGTGAGACAAATTAGATGCTATTTAAGGAAAAAAATCACACAGAAGAGGAAGAGGGAGAAAAGACAGCGAGCAAGCGTTTTTCAGAGGCAGGTGTTCCCAGAACTGAGACACGGGGTTAGAGGACCACAGAATGATTTCATATGAGCTTTCATATGAGCTGAGGAAGGTGAGGAGAGCTTAGAGAGAAAAACAGAAGAGAGACAGTTAGCCGAGTTAGATACAGTTTGACAAGAGGAGGGGAGGGCAGAACATTGGAGACGGAAAGAGGGGAGCGGTGACAGAAAACAGCAAATCCCCTCACTCTTACAGGGGACATAATGAGTCTTGACCAAAAGGGGAAAAATAAAACAGCAAGGCCCACTAGAAAATACAGCAAAGGAAAAGGTTAGACATTTTTTTTTTTGCTTCATATCCAAACTAGACGGAATGAGTCCATCTTTTAAAAAAATATTCAGTCGTTTCCTGGGACAGCTGATGAGTGACTATCAGAGCAGCCGGACAGCTCCTCTGAGGTTCAAAATGTTCTGTAAATGCCACGGAAATGACGGAAGCATTTTCTAGGGATACAGAATAGTTTTTTGGCTCAGATATTATCTCCCTGACTACAAACAGAAAATAAAAAGACAAAGCCACCTTCTCATTCTTACAGAATAGCTGCTCTCTGCTTTCTATATTTTAAAAATAGTTTTTAATACATAGCATATATAAAAAATAAACTGTCCAAGATCACAGAAGTGTTGCAGGTAAATACGCCAAATTAAGTGGTTTAGTTTACAGGGTTTCTGCAGGTTTCAACAGGTGAAAATTTTTCAAATACCTTTTCCAGGACTCAGATATGAATGGCAATTGAAGGACCTTATTTAAGGCCCAAACTGCGTAAAAAAAAAAAAAAAAAAAAAAAAAAAAAGCTACAAAGCATATTAAGGAAAATCTGTTTTGTCTTCAAGTTTCAGCCTGATAATACAAATTTCTTCGCAAAAACATATTTACGCAAGTATGAAAAACTTTAAGTAAGCTTAACTTTATCAATGTGATCCATTTTTAATGCCTGTCAAAATCATATTTAAGACATTTTAAGTCCTGAGATACCGATTGTTGGATTTATAAGACCCTGCTGACATTCAAGTCATTCAAGTTGAGGTCCTAGGTCAAATATGTACAAACAATCTCACCATGGACAGTCTGAATGTATCCTCTCTGACAGACACAAGACAACGAAAATGGAAATGGCAGCACAAGGAAGACAACTGGCAACAACCAGCAAATTAAAAGAGAACAGAGGGATGAAGGTGGTGGGTAGGAGTTGAGGCTTTAAGACGGTCCATCTGACTTATGTGTGTGTGTCTGTGCGTGTGTGTGTAGATGCGTTACTAACCTCCTCGTTGAGGTTGCTGACCAGCAGGACCCCGCTGGACCCTGCCTGTCCAGCCAGAGCCACCCTCCCTGCAGCAGCAGCAGCCGCCGCTGCCGCGCTCAGAGGGTTCAGGGCTCCTGACGGGAAGCAGACGAGACAATCATGGAATGGAGAGCAGCACTTCCACTACACCGCGGCATTACAACACTGAGCAAAGATGCATCTTATAATTTAAAGTTATAACAAACAACAACAAAAGTGTAAAAAGGAAGAGAAATAAAAGCGTGATCTACCTGGGATCTTACCGAGGAGGGAGTTGGAGTCTTTGCTGAAGGCGGCTGCCACCGAGGGGTCAATGCTGGGCTGGCCGTCCCCAGCAGGCAGCTCGGGTCGCGTGTAGTCACGACTCTTATCGTTGTTGTACTTGACATTTAGGTTGACCAGCTTGGAGAAGTCGATACGCAGTGTGCAACATGAATTGTAGATGTTCTGGCCGTCCAGCGCCTGGGAGGGGGAAGAAAAATCACCACTCTGTGTTCAGCTATTACATTTAGTATTGCAAAGTACTGACAGACACTTAACTAGACAGTGAGGAGTTAACAGCGGAAACTCTTACCAGTTTAGCCTGCTGTGCATTGACGGGGTCACTGAACTGCAGCAGGGCCTGGAACTGATTGTTCTTGGTGAATGTGATTATCTTCATGACTGTGCCGAACTTGGAGAAAATCTGCCGACAAAACAAAGAAAATGTCAACGTTAATATTCAAACTTGGTGGACATTATGTCTCACGACAACTAAACAACTTGAGGGGGGTCATAACAACTGTTTCCTGCCTGTTGCAGTACGTCCAGCGTCACAGGGTAGAACATGTTGTCGATGATGATGCGCAACACCGGACTTGAGGCTGCAGCGAGGGCCTCCTGTACATCTGAGCTTGGCGACCCACCAGACTGGACCGCTGACACTGCCTGAAGCACCGCCTGGGTCCGCTACGGCCAAACACAAACGATAAGTCACTGCCTTTAACGATGGAGCTCAGACAAGATGGTGAGCCATTTTACTCACTATTAATTTCAAGTTTAAGAGCCCAAGTTATATTTGAATATCAAAGTATTAAGACAGCCGACCAAAAGGTCAATAGTTTTTGTTAAAACCTGCAGACTGTTAGCAGAATGTCCCGGTGGTCTGTTAGTCAGCCTCTACTAACCTGATTGCCAGCATCAGTTTTCAGTTCTTTGTGATTGGAGTACTGAATAAAGACAGGGACATTGCGGACATGAGGAGTTACAGTGGTGTAGTAGTTAACCATAGTGATGGCCGCCTCCTCTGTCCCCATCTCCAAGAACGCCTGGAGAGAGGAGAAAACAAAGCTCTGGTAAATCCCCCACCACTGTTATCATTCGACGAATATAGCTGTCAATTTTTCCACAATTCAAGTTCAAACAAATCTGAATGACTTCAAACAAATTATCTCAAAACTCATGAGCTGCAGCTCATCCCAGCTGCATGACACCACACAAGAAAACACAAGGTACTGATTAAACTAATGGATAAGACATTCACATCCACACCGATCTTTGTCACATATCCTTGTCTATAAATCCTGCTCTCTTATCGGTGGTGGCATTTTTATAAGCTTCTGGTAAGCAGTCTGCTGAAGCTGAGAGTGCCGAATAGTAGCAGTCAGACAGGGTTGTAAACTTAACATTGCTTTGCTAGTCTGTGGTGCAGCCGCTTAGTACAAAGTCAATCGAAGCCCACTGCTGCTTTGGTGCCGAGACTGTCCGTTCAGGATGCTTGCTAGTGTCCTCCATTTTCGTACTAAAGAACATAACATTACTAGCTTAGTTTACTGACAGGTCATCATTGTCTCCAGGATTTTGCAGGCTTTTTTCCTGATAGTTACGGCCTAAAATGCCAGATGTCACAGCTGCTTTTTTGTTTTTTTAAGCTGCTATGCATGTTGCAATGGGGTTTTTTTGTCAATAAAATTGCGGGAGAAAGTGAAATTTGCCAAAAATAGTTGCGGTTTTGTCTTGTGTAATTAAATAAATCAAAGACAACTTTTTGTAGTGAGAATAACATCTGCAGTAGTTTGGTATCATACAGCTAAATGTTTTGCGTTGGAGACTGCTCCACTGCTGGATCATAAGGAAACAGTCTGTTGTGCTTAAAAACTGTAAATTTCTAATTTGAACAGGTCACTACATTATATACATGAAAATGAACAACATTTGAATGAAATTGTGATTATAAAGCAGCAGCCCTATCAAGAAGTAATTATCTGATCATTTCTACTTAGTTTTCTTCTTAAATTTGGACAAACCATCTACACATTTGTGTGAACTGTAATTCATCATCGTGGTGACAAACAACAGAATCTGTATCAGACCAACACAGATGAAGTTGTCTCAACACGGAGATGAGGCAGCTGCCGATCGATCAAGGCTAGCCGACACATGGGGAGAACAAAGCAGCCGTACTTGACAGGAATCTAGGGGACAAATGCCGAGCACCTCCAATGGCCCCTCCGCAGCAGGCAAACAATAGGCTTTTGTATGGAGTTGTGGGCATGTTTCAGATGCAGTTCAAGATAGCAAGACCAAAAAAGGCCAAAGCACTTGTGTGATAGTGAAACAAGATTTGACCAGTCCTGTTGACACCATCCCACCCACACCTCTGTGTCCGGTATGAATTTACCTGTGGTGTGAAACTGAAGCCTAATAACAGTTTTATGGTTCTTACGAATACACCTTCGTTCACTCACCTGGTTCTTTCCCTTCAGCGTGAGGATATTGGTGACTTTGCCAAAAGGCAAGCCAAGAGCGATGACTTCGGTCTCTGAGGCCTCATTGGGTAGTTTCCTGATGTGGAGCACGCGAGATGGTGGGGCCTCCTCCACCCTCAGCTTTTTACTGTCACTTCCATTGGAAGCCCCATCTAAAATATTAGCATAAACACTAATGAACTGTGCTAATCAATGCAATAAAAATCCCCTTAATTTGAAGGATAAGGTTGGCAATATTGTGTATTTTACCTATTGTCAACACATCTCATGAAAAGGCGAAAACCAACAATGTGTTTTCAGCTCATCTCTAAATCTCTGACTTTAAAGGATAAGGCTTGAGTTATTCTATATTCCGCATGAAGAGACCAAAACCAGCAATGTGTTTGTCTGTCTCCCAAGGCTTGCTGACATTTCTGCCATTTCTGTGGCTCTCAGCACCAAGCCCAGCCCAAGCACAGTCATTTCCTAACAGCAGCAACTTATTCAAACAGGGGGAAACTGTATTTGTTAAGGGACTATTTTCAGGCCTCAAGAAAAAAGAAGAAAGAGTAATTCACATGCATTCATCTAGCGTGCATTTGGTGCAGGAAGATGTATGTGGGACTGAGTCAAAATAAACTGTGTGTCCATGAAAATGAAGGAACATGTCGCCCAGCGCAAAAGTGTGGCTCACTGATGGCACAGAGGAAGAAGATATATCAGCTTTTGATACACACACACACACACACAACATTTGTTAGCAGATGCATTCATTCTTGGTTTGGCTCTGCGCATGAGATTTGTTGACAAAATTAAAAAAAAAAAACACTCCCCTCCAAAAGTATTGGAACAGTGAGGCCAATTCTTTCATTTTTGCTGTAGAGTGAAAACATTTGGGTTTGACATCAAAAGATAAACATGAGACAACATTTCAGCTTTTATTTCCAGGTATTTACATCTGGATCATATACACAACTTAGAAGACAGCACCTTATGTTTGAACCCATCCATTTTTCATGTGAGCAAAAGTATTGGAACATGAGATTGACAGGTGTGTTTTGTTTCCCAGATGTGTCCTATTACATTGATTATTCAAACAATAAATAGCGCTGAACAACCATTTGGAATGTCCTGAAGAAGAAAGAAACCACAGACGTCGAATGGGTAGACCAAGCAACAGCAGCAGTTGACGACAGAAACATTGTGAGAGCTGTAAGAAAGACCCGAAAACAACTGTTTGTGACACCAGTAACAACCTCCAGAGTGCAGGAGTGAAGGTATCACAATCTACTGTTCGCAGTACAGAGGCTACACCAGAAGATGCAAACCACTCATTAGCAAGGAGAATAGGAAGGCCAGGCTGGAATTTGCTAAAAAGTACACAGACAAGCATCAAAGATTCTGGGACAAAGTTTTACGGACTGATGAGACAAAGATTAACCTTTACCAAAGTGATGGAAAGGCTAAAGTTTGGAGAAAGAAAGGATCTGCTCATGATCCCAAACATACAAGCTCATCTGTGAAACACAGTGGAGGTAATGTCATGGCTTGGGCTTGCATGGCTTCTTCTGGGACGGGCTCATTAATCTTCATTGATGATGTCACACATGATGGCAGCAGCAAAATGAACTCAGAAGTCTACAGAAACATTTTGTCTGCCAATTCAAAGAAAGATGCAACCAAACTGATTGGGAGGTCCTTCATCATGCAGCAAGATAATGA